GAATGTTTGTCTGTGATTTGTGCATATCGAGATCCTCGTGGGTTCCAACACAACGGCCTCGCGTTCGCACTAGGTGCGCCCACGGTCGCCGGCACACGTCGCGGCTCTGGGACTCGAAAGTCCGCCCGTCCCCTTCGAGTCGCGGTCAAGTGATCCTCCCGTCTTCTAGCAATCTCCATGGCTTTGAGCATGGTCTCCGGCCTCTCCAATCGTACATCGGCCGCAAGATCATACCTAAGCCCTCCAACAAACGCGCCAACAAGCGCGCTTTCCGGCCACCCGCGAACCCGGCACGCCAACCTCTCGAACTCCTTTTGGTAGTCACGTACACTCCCCGACTGCCGGATCCGGGTCAGCGCCTCGTCGTGGTTATGATAATCTGAGTTCCCAAAACGCGTAAGGAGCTCGCGTTCAAAATCTTCCCAACGGATTGGTTGTTGCCGCCCGCGATACACGCGCGTGAGCCACTGCCACCACACGTTGGCCTCACCATCTAGATAGTACGCGGCGTATCGAACCCAGTCTCGTTGCGGCATCTCGTTTAGGTCGAAGAACTGCACCGCCCTGTTCAGCCAAGCGTCCGGATTGGTTCCCGTGAACGTTGAGAGCACGATCCTCGGCTTCTCTACGCGTGGTCGCTCATGAACGTTCGACGCCTGCGACCGCTGCTCGTACTCCTCCTCCTCGTCGATGTTGTGCTCAGCCCGCTGTTGCTCCTGTTGCCGTAGACACTCGCGTGCGTTCACCCGTGGTGGATCCTGCTGCTGTTGTCGCTGGAACCCGCGCAACACCTCCTCCAGGCGCTGCTCGAGACGAGCTACGGTAGCATTGGTGGTGGTCTGCCCTTCATCGAGCGAACCAAATCGGCCCTCTATGCTTTCGCTTATGGCCCTGAATTGGCCTTCCAATCCTTCGACTCTTTCTTTCAACTCACAATTGGCCATATCTTTTCTGGCTTGCCTACGTTCTCGACTTCCCGGACTAATTTTGTTTTTTTTTTTTTTGGCTTTTGACGATTTTTTTTTTTTTTTGAACAACGAAAATTACGAACGAAAAATTAAAAGAGAATGGGGAAGAAGAAAAACACACGATCTAACACCTCTCAATGAAAGCACCAATGATGAAGATCGTGTGTCTCGACTGTCGACAAGCCGCTCCCGCGCCTTAAATCGCTCGATAGGTGTTAGGAAGTCGCACACTCGCAGCCTTTCTAACGAGTAAAATTGCAAGAGAATTCAAGAAGAAAACTAGAGCAAAGTGTTTGAACAAAAGTTCGGTTTTTGTGTATTAATTTCTGAATGCCAAAAAAATAACAAGGAAGGGACTTTATATAGGCATCACTAGATCTAGTCCTATTATAACTATAACTCTAATAAAGCAATAAAATATTAGGTATCCTAAACAAACTAGAAAACAAGGAAATGAATATCTAGAATATCTCTTGCTTGCGATCCAGGCCGACATTGCGCGCGTGCTGCCCTCGCGCGCCCGCTTCGCCTACTCCTTGCGTGGTTAGGCCTGCTCGCGCGTGAACCTCTTCGTCCACACCCGCGCTATTGCACCCTTGGCCGAGATTCTCGCGCGCGTCACCGTCCGCGCGCGCATGTCCGCTAATGAGTTGGGCCTGGGCAACCCGTCGGCTTAACCTCCGTCGTGCATGATAAGTGCGGCTTGCAGCATTCTTTAGTCTCCTGGCCGTGTTCTCATCACGCTGTGCGGCGCTGGCGTGCGCTGACAGCGGTGCACAGGGCCTGGCAGACAGGTAGGGTTTCACATAGGACCGACCGTTTTTAAAATTTACTCGACCGATTTAATTGAAACTTTAACACATTAAAGTAGACTCAGAAAGGCACATAATCACAAGCTTTTCAGATCCAACACTTCAATTTAACACAATCAACTAATTTTTACAAAAAGACGATTAAAATCTGAACTTTCTAGTTCACCGAGCAATCCTTTGAATTTTTCAGCGAAATTTGGACACAACATACATTTCATCAAATTACTGACCCTCATTAAAATTCACAGAAAAATACCAAGTACTCGATTTTTAATGATTTTTCCAAGTTTCAGGTCAGATTTTCAAATTGACAATTAACATAGCTACAGACCTTATTTTGATTTGAAATTTTTACACAACCTAAATTATCATCAGAGGGTCATACAGTTAAATTTTACAGCAATCGGGCAAACACACAATTTATGATGATTTTTGTAAAAATCAGCAGCAACTCCCGATTCAAAAATACATATATGACCAAATACTCAAAAAAAACGTCTAAGGCCTTCACCATGAGGCCAAAGACTCATAAGTGTTCCATAGTCCACATCCCTAACACGATTTTAACGAGGGTTCATCACACATGCATAACAATGTGGTTCGGAGGCTTATTTCCTCGAAAACAATTGAGCTCTAGATGACCGAGCACCTTTACTTATTTTAAGAAACTGTTTTAACCCCATATTACTCATGATTTATAAGGATTTTTAAGCACAAGAAATCAGCCTAAACATGCATGCAACGAAAAGTACGATTTTAAGACTTTAAGCTTCAAAAATTCGATTTTCTCATTCTACCCGAGAAAAAAACTTGATTTCTCTTCATGATAAATCTTAAAATATCATGTTATAGCTAGGATAAAAAGATAGCATGATGTCACGCCCTTATTTACTTGATGAATGCGTGCGGCCTAAGCCCCTCGTTGCGCCCTTCGCGAACTAGCTTAGTCAGCCTCACCGTGCCTGGACCGTGCTCGGAGTGTGCTAGTACTTGGCTAGAGAAAGATGGCAAAGATATGCAAGAGAGAATGTAAGGGAAAAACTTATATTACTATTCACTCAAACTTAGTACAAGAGAGCTTGAAAGTTGCTTGGATGCTTGGATGGTTTGCAAATGAGGGTGCCCTCCCCTATTTATATGCATCACCCTCCTAAAAAGGCTTCTAGTCCTACAAGGGTCTTGAGCCTTCTAGGCTCTTCCACAAGTCTCCTACAATCTACACAAGTCCTAGAACCTTCTACACAATTCTACAAGGCTCTAGGTTATTCATGTCCCTACTACAAGTATCCATACTACTCTAGGGCTTTCTAGAAGCTCCTAGATAACACTAAACCTCTACAAAGGTTAACTATGTACAAGACTTAGGTTTCGCACGACCTAAGTCCCCAAACGTACTGGCAGTCCCGTGCGTGCGCGCGTTGCTGGCGTGCGCGCGTCTGCTACCTGCGGATGCGCGCGTCCTCCCCACGCGCGTGCGGCCTTGCTCGGGCCTCCTCGGCTGCGCACGACCTCGGGCGTGCGTGTTTTAACCTGGTTGCGTGTAGAGCCCGCGTGTGCGCTGCGTCCACGCGCGGGCTGACTGGGGTGTGGGTGAAGCAAGGCGTGACATTCTTTCCCACCCATTTCGGCGACGCCCTCGTCGACGTGTGGGATCCGTCCTCCCACTTGGCTGCTTGATAAATTGAATAACCCAAAGGTACGAAGTCGGCTCTGAAGGTAACTTCTTATGAAATTTTAGCCCCGTGAGATACTTACCCGAACCGGACTCCGCTACCGGTATCCAATGCTGCTTCTTCCCTTGAAGCGCGCAAAGTGTCCTTAAGTGCGGCACCGGGAACATGTGATTGTCCACGAAGAAGTTCATCCCCAAGATGATGTCCCGGTCGTCCATCGTGGTAACTTTAAAGTTCACGTGTCCGTCCCACGTGCCTAAGCAAATCTGTACCCCATTGGCAACGCCAGTCACCCGTACGGCCTTCGCATTATTCGACTTCATCCACCCCTCGCCCTTCGAGACACGGATGCCAAGTCGTTGAACTTCAGCCTTGGTAATGAAACTATGATTTGCCTCAGTATCCACCAAGGCCTTGATTGGTTTACCGTTGATGTATCCCTCGACAACCATCAAACGGCCTTCATGCTGTCCATCCCTGCTTGACTTGCCTTCCACGGCAGTGTTGAGTTGTAGCGCCCCTATGTTTTGGACTTCCTCATGGTCGTCCACCGGTACCTCAGTGATAGCGCTCAACGAGCCTAACTTCGGGCAGTCCTTCATGCGATGCGGCCCCTTGCACACAAAGCATCCCGCGCTAGGCCTAAAGGTTTGCTTTTTCTCCTCATAAGATTGACGCGTCGACCCCCTGCCTTCGCGTCGAGCCGATGACCTCCCCTGGTCTTTGGCTTCTAGGTGACTTCTGTCTTGCTCCTCCTGGTCCGAGTCCTCCTCGTGCCTCGACGACCTCTCTCGAGCGCGTGGGTAGAACTCGGTAAGGGACTCAGCTGCGGCAATGGCCTCATCGACCGTTTTCACGCCCCGACGTTGCAACTCTTGCTTTGCCCACGTTTGTAGACCGTCAACGAAATAAAACAACTTGTCCTCTTCGGTCAAGGTTGGGATAAGAAGCTTCAAGGTTGTATATTGCTCCACGTACTCGCTAATTGTGCCTCGTTGCCTCAACTCCCTAAGATTCTTGCGGGCTTTGTACACCACATTTTCAGGGTAGAATTGCCTCTTGAGCTCCCTCGTAAAGTCATCCCATGACTCGATCCGACAAATGCCCCTCTCGATGTCGGCATGCTTCCGACGCCACCATAACATTGCGTTGTCGGAAAGGTAAAGAGCAGCGGTACGTACCTTAGTAGACTCATCCTTGAGTCTGATGCCTTCGAAATATTGTTGCATGCTCCAAAGGAAATTGTCCACTTCCTTGGCGTCCCTCACGCCGTTGTACCCGATCGGCTTCGGGCACTCCACCCTCGGAGAGAACATCGGGTTACTAGTCTCACTAGCTATCACCCGCTTGCACATTGCAAAGTCCTCGCGCATCCCCGTGATGCTTGTTTGGAGACCCTTCACAAGGTCCAACAGCTGGCCCTTGACAAAGTCCTCCAGTTGATCCAAGCGAGCCTCTACCGGCGTGCGCGCTTCCAGTCCCTCCTGGATCGTGCGCTCAAAGGAATCCAACTTTTCCATGACGTGCGTCTCCAACAACTTCGTCCAACGCCGAAACCTCCGCGCGAACTCGGCTTTGGTCCCGACGACGCTTGTCTTTGGTCGTGGTGGTGTACTCCCGTCCTCGGGCTTGCTCCTTGAACACCCCAGACCCTGATGCCTCGTGCTCCTTGTCTCCAGCCATACTCTACACGGTACCGAGCGTGGCTCTGATACCACTTGTCACGCCCTTATTTACTTGATGAATGCGTGCAGCCTAAGCCCCTCGTTGCGCCCTTCGCAAACTAGCTTAGTAAGCCTCACCGTGCCTGGACCGTGCTTGGAGTGTGCTAGTACTTGGGTAGAGAAAGATGGCAAAGATATGCAAGAGAGAATGTAAGGGAAAAGCTTATATTACTATTCACTCAAACTTAGTACAAGAGAGCTTGAAAGTTGCTTGGATGCTTGGATGGTTTGCAAATGAGGGTGCCCTCCCCTATTTATAGGCATCACCCTCCTAAGGAAGCTTCTAGTCCTACAAGGGTCTTGAGCCTTCTAGGCTCTTCCACAAGTCTCCTACAATCTACACAAGTCCTAGAACCTTCTACACAATTCTACAAGGCTCTAGGTTATTCATGTCCCTACTACAAGTATCCATACTACTCTAGGGCTTTCTAGAAGCTCCTAGATAACACTAAACCTCTACAAAGGTTAACTATGTACAAGACATAGGTTTGGCACGACCTAAG